CCGCAAAGCACCTGGCGAATAGACCAGTGACACAATATCTGACTGTCGTCGACACACCCTCCCTGTCCTTCCCTGAGGGGCGTCAGAAGACCAAAGCGGTGCAGTAAAGCAGAGCCCTGCCACTAATGACAGATGGCCTGTCGTAAGTGGCAGGGCATCGGTTGTTACGTCCGAGCTCACGTCTCGCGCACTGTACTGAACACACCGCACCGACCCGCATGAGAGACCTCGGAAACCGGTCACAGGATATATCGAGTAACAGCTATCGGCATCACTGTCTCAGGGGGTCTCAACAGTGGGCGCTGGCCGCTCTGACCAGCATCAGCGGCGGTGATGCGCTGGGCCACGTCCTCGGGCGTCTCGCAGTGGGTCACGTGTCGATCGCTCCTGCCCTTGGCGTTGGAGGCGTACACCTCCAGTCGGTACCGCCGGCCCGGCCGCAAACCTGCTACCGCGAACCTGTCGACCGCGGAAGCAGAGTGGGGCATGACGATAACCCGACAGGGAACGCGCTCACGAAGGGGCGTTGGTGTAATGTGGTCACTTGCAAGGAAACTCACGGGGTGAACAGGATATGGAACGGCGGAGAAAGGCGTGCAACATGCCCGACGCGGTGATCTATCCTGTATTTTACTGTTCCCAGACAATTAAAAGGCATGGAATGCTATACGCGTATAAACGCTTTAACAATGGACGTATCGGAGCATACCTTACCGGCGCTATTGTGAAACCGCTGGCCAGGACGACCATTAATCACATAATACGTTGACGGAAACAAAGCGGGCAATTAACGGAAACAAAAGATTTTACTCATTCTCGTGGCTCCCTCTCTTTCGTATTTGACCCGGTTCCGACCGCCGCTGATGACGTGTGTTAATTGCGCGAGAGTCAGCGGCCCGCCACATACCTGGGCTCGTCAGAGCTGACGTTGCTGACCAGTGTCTCGCGCTGGGAGTCGACCACTTCCAGCGCGAACGTCTGCGACAGGCCGCCGTCGCGGCCGGCCGCGCACACCACGTCCACCGACTGCGACGTGCCGTTGGCCACCGAACAGTTGGCCGGGGGCTCTGGCCGCTCTGGGGGCGGGGCATACCGCTGTGACAACGAAAAAACTGGAAAACGTACCGTTGAGGCAATACACTAAAGCCAATAACTAACTGATAATGCATAGAACTGCCCTCAACTGCACTGCATCCATCATACGATTCAACATTCACAACCATTGCATGGTACTAAAACCTGCGATGTCCGACTCAGGCACCCGCTCTCCTTGTTATGCAACGGCGTGTGTTGTTATACAACGGCAGCTTACGAGGGTGCACATTTATCTTCCGGCGTCGCAAAGGCTGACAAGACAGTTTCATAACTGATCGATCAACAAACCATCACCGGGCACCTACGCTTAGGATATGTATGCGTTTGAGGTGCAGAGAAAATAAACTGCTCAGTAACAGATGGGACAGGAACACTTGACCGATATCTACGGGCAAAGGGAGAACGAATTCTGCATGCTAACGGCCTAGGTCATTAAAAAGTCTCAAGCATATCTGATGGCCGAAATGAAGCATTTTCTCTATACACCGCCAGCCACTAACGAGGGTAGGAAGGCATGTGCACATTGTGAACTGGAGATGTATTGGACAAATCTCTGGACCATAGGTGGTTTCATATCAGGTGGGTCAAGGGCTTTCCCACACATTTGCGATGCAGCGCATAAGGCATGATGCATCATTAAATGCGATAAGCGGTCGACCATAAATTACGCTACGCATTGAGAGGAGAGGGGGTCTTTAACGGAGCATTACCAAAGCCTAACAAGCTGGAGGGGGTTTCAGGCAAAGTAATGTTACGTTCAGGTGCGGCTACAAACCAAGCTCAAATATAAAAACCGGTAACACATTAAAAGCGGATGCTTTCAGCAAAACGTCTTTTTTACTTCCACCGCTAACGCAATTAGGGACTAAACGGATGTTACATTTGTGGGGCGTTATACGTTAACGTTAAGTGTAACTCAAGACGTTAAGTGCAACCAGTGAGAGGATGGGATGGGGCGAGGGGCAGTCGCCTAGCGTAACCAGTGCGTAAACAGGAGAGGAAAAGGTTGAAAACGACACAAGGCGTAACGTCACTTAGGGACGTCCCAACAAATGTCAACACATGCACATACCTAACAACACTATAGTCCGTAAAGTCACAACTCCCCTGTGGCTAATCGCGATGGGTTCCGATAAACATCCTCGTGTCGCAGCAAAACAATAAAAACAGTGCTGACATATTTTCCGAAAAACAACTGGTCACAAAGAAATTTTTTGTGCCGTGATGACGTCACGCCTCGCAGCGCAGGCCTGTGACGTCAAACTTACCGGCCGGTACGATGGAGACGACACAGGGTCGGGCCTGCTGGGCCAGGTCGTTCTCCGCCCAGCAGAGGAGGTCACCATAGTCCAGCTGGGTCCGCGGCGTGTACCGGCACACGCTGGCAGCGCCCGCGCTCTGCCAGCTCGACTCCGGCAGGTCGATCACGTGACCTGCGGCGCCACCGGAGGGTGCGGGTCAGGGTCGATCACGTGACCTGCGGCGTCACCGGGCCGGCTCAGATCAGTGTCGACCACGTGACCTGCCATGCCGCGAGCTTGGCACTGGTCAGGGTTGATCACGAGGCCAGCTCAACCCAGTCACATTGGTTATGCATGCGGTTATGAAAAAGGCATGCATCGATCAAACCATCACCACTCAGATCATCATCACCATCAGCGCCCATCATGACCACCAGCCGCTCATCACCACCACAGGTCGCTCATCATCACCACCAGCCGCTCATCATCACAAGCGCCCATCACCACCACCAGCCACTCATCAACACCGGCCGCTCATTGAAATTTCACAGCAACCCGAATGTGTAAAATTGCAGGGGCTGATTAGAGTACCGCGAAGCGGGATGTGGCTTAGGCGGAATGACCTTAGTTACGACGCGTGGGGGATGGGTCCTCAACGGTTCCACAGTTCAGCATTGCACAATATCACGGCGCACGGCAAAACAAAAACGCCTCGGGACACATCGATGTCCACTCAGCCTTTGGCATCTGGCTGAGCCGAAAGTGGGCGGACACCGAGTGACACAGCGTCCGCAGCAGCCGTCAGCCAGGCCCCCAGCCTTTCCCTGAGCTTTCTCCGGGCTCCATCTCGAGCCGTCGTCTACAGCGCCCCGGCGTCCGACGGCGGTCGCGCAGATCCCGACCCTCGTACCTGACGTGTTGAACGCCCAGACGAAGCGGAACGGCGCCGGCTCTGCCGTCACGCGACACGTGACGTTCACCGTCTCGCCGCGCGACACGGCGTACTGGGTCACGTGGTCCGGCCGGCAGGCGGGGGCGTCTGCGGGCGTGGAGACACGGGGCTTCACTTATTACCACGCCGCGCGCGCGGACGCACTCAGAAACACGGCCAGACGGATCACCGTCTTGTCTGGTGATTCGCAGTCACACTGAGCGGGCGGAAGCGGTACACTTTGGTAACCATACGTCCAAGGATAGACGACTACAGCTGCATAGGCACAGCCCGAGAACAAACTGCTCCATTCACACAGCAGCTGTGTTTGCCTTCCGGACCCGGGACAACGGTCCACGTGACCAGCCCCGGGCGCTTTTCTGCTAATCGGGGTGTCGAGGCTGGTCTGGTCTGGAGGCTGGGTGCTAGGTATTCACTGCAGGAACGAGCGGCTGGCACGGTGGGTGGGCCCAGTCGGGCACGCAGCGCCAGGAGCGGTTACCCTGCTCCTGGCAGGGATGTGGTCTTTCTCCCGCACATGTCGCCGCAGCCCTCTACCTGGGGCTGCTGCAACTAAATCTGGCATCATTTTGACCCACAACAGCTTCGCTTTACATCCTTACCCACATTAACATTTCTCACGAATGCTGGCAAGCGTAATATATCCGCTGTGAACGCGGCGGGCGCATGTTGTGCTGCTCGCGAGCATTTTGTATGCTGTAATCCCTGGACCACCAGACACTTCATCGGTACTCTATCCTTCTCTGCTGGAGATAATCCCCCAGAACAATTTGCTGGCCTGCACCGCGCCGCATTCCAACAGGTCTTTAATGCGAGCGCCAGCTGTCCTGAGAGGCGACCACCGCATCTCCCACACATCCCAGCCGCCAGCTTCAGCGTAAATCGTGACCTTCGTCTTGAGGTCGCCAGGGCTCCGACAGCATCAGGCTCTCCGTGCTGGCTGCGTGGCGAGACCCGGTACAGCGTTCTCAGTCAAGTCACGCTGCACTACTGACCCGCCCACATTGACGAGTCACAGGCTTCGCCCGTAGGAAAGAGCTTGCGATCCTGAGCCCACCTGAACCGAAGTCTGGCAGGAGACTGGCTCTCGACCTTGACCCACCCGACCGGCGCCGTGACCTCTCCAGCACCCAGGCCTGGCCTCGCCCCTGGCGTTGTCACCGAGCGCTCGCCGCCGTTGACGGCACGTTATTTGCTCGGTAGTCATATGCGGCCGCAAGTGGACGACTGCCGCCGCAGATTGCGTACAACTGTCGCTAGGACCGCCGCGGGCGCGGTGTCGGCTGGCGCCACTCTGGCGCCTGTGGCTTCGCTGGCATAGCCGAGTGTCTATCGACTGTTGCGGCGCGAAGTGGCTCAGCATCTCTCCAAAAGCGAGGCACTGCATGCCAACGCCGAATCTTCGAAACTTATAAAGTGGCTCTGCCCCTGGTCTTTTCTAACTGCCCGGTAACCGCACACGTGCGCCAGATACTCAGATTTCCAGTCATAAGCTCAGTTCTGGGAGGTCCGCACCGAAGTTTCAATGAGTTTCGTATTCGCTGAGCGCTGAAGTGTCTCCCCGGAGTGGCACCGGCTGCTGGAATCTGAGCACAAATCCGACCTCGAGGGACAAATAGGGGTGTGCAGTTTGTTCCCACAAGTGCGACGGAAGTCGGACGGTTAGTACAATACTTAGACTTGCTCGATGAAAGACTGACAAATATGTAACATGAAGATAGACACGCATCGTAGAACTGAATATACATTTAAAGGTTGCGCTACACACAGACAAGTTGCCAGCCGGACGCTTCATGTCCCCACGTCGAAGGTAATTTAAACTAACTCGATACGTCAAATCTAATTGCCTTTTTCATCGAGCCAACTAGCATCAAGACAGCTGCCGGTTGAACAACACCAGACCAGCGCAACCTCCGCAGTTCCCTGCGTGTGGCGTCGAGTGAAACTGAGCCACACAGCGGCCTGGTGCAGCCCGTAACACGGAGCGAGGCGGCGTGGCCTGACATGACAGGGCCATTACCGGTACAGGGCCGGGCCGGGCCGGGCTGGCCGGGAGGGGCACGCCCAGAGGCTCACCGCCCACGCCCGTCCGACTCCGTCGTGTCAGCAGGCCACCCCACCTGGCACGGACGCGCGGAGAGACTGCCGCAGCGAGCTACAGAGGCTGCCGCAGGGTGGCGAGGCACGCGCTGCGCGGAAATCACACAATCGACCAACGCCCCTCGGATGGAAAACAAAGCGTCCGGCAAGTGCCCGACGACAGAAAAGGCATGGGAAGAATCAAAGAAATAACGAGAGCGTGATTGTGGACGGGTACCCCTCTTTCTTGCTTGGAACTTGCATGCCTTAGTTCACTGTGTTAAGAAAAGACGCCACGCATGTGTTTCCACCGGCCATAGCAGTATCATGACACTTGTAGCCGGAGTTTGCTTACTTCCTCGCTGTCCGTCTCAGCCGCGCGTAACCGCCCGCGAGTCGAGTCACGTCCCTAAGTTTCCGAGCAAGTGCTGCTCCTCATCACAGCGGTGCTCACGCAGTACCCGGAGTTTATTTGCGTCGCTGTGCAACGTTCCAATGAGACATACATTGTTCCTGGAGGGAGGTCACGCCACTCCTCTCATCCCAGCGGTACTCACATTGCACCCGGAGTCGCACAACGCCGCTGGTGCCCGTGCCTTCGTCGTTGAAGGCCTCGCAGGAGTAGTTGGAATGGGTTGGGGTGGGGTTGGAGTGACCCTGGAGTGGTGTCACGCCACTCCTCTCATCCCAGCGGTACTCACACTGCACCCGAAGTCGCACAACGCTGCTGGTGCCCGTGCCTTCGTCGTTGAAGGCCTCGCAGGAGTAGTTGCCGGAGGCGGCGCGAGTGACACCGCGGAGGATCAGGGAGTTGTTGGCCAGCACAAGGCCATGGCGCGGGTCACTGACCAGCGCCTCACCCTGAGGGCATACGGAGTTGTTACCTGTCGAGATCAACGGTCTCACTGATGCGTGGTGGGCGGCTGGCACCCATCGCACTGATGATGATCCGTGTAGGATGAATGCAGCTGGATGCTGCTGTTTTGGTATGCTAAGGACAAGGGAAATACAACACCGGCGTGAGGACCGTTTTTTGTTGTAAAAACACGCCCGTACGGAGATTCATGTACCGAGGACGGTCGCGATCTGCCACCGATATTGGAGCGCGTGGCCCCGCCCGCAGGACCGCAGCGCCAGCCGGGCAACTCACGTCGCGTTTCCAGACGACCCTGAGGGCGGCAGGGTTGGCCTGAACCCGGCACTCCATGGCAACGAGATCGCCCTCCCTGACGCCGCGGCTCGGCAGTGACGAGCGCAGCTGGAGACGGACGAGCGGCGCATCTGCGGGGATGGCGGCGGTGTCACCAGGGACGGCAGAGGTGTCAGCAGGGACAGCAGAGGTCAGCAGGGACGGCGGTGGTATCAGCAGGGACGGCGGCGGTGTCAGCAGGGATGGCGGTGGCGACGGCGGTCGCCTGAAGCGATGGTATGGCAGCATTGTGCCCGTCATAACAGGTGGGACGCCTCCAAAGTTACTGGATACGGAGCTACAGGAGAGTTTGCAGTCGTTTGTTTGCCCGCATCGTCCGTATACCCATAACACAACTAAAAATCCTTTGGAAGGGTATGTGACACACATGCTATCAAGGGTGTGATCAGCAACACCCATACCCACAACAGTATCAGCAGTTTGCATCTACTGTCTTATGCTGTTCAATGTCGTCCTTTCTTGGATCAGTAACATTGCGCTGAACCGCTGCCAAATCTCGCTCCACCGGCGCACGCCGTGCCAGTGACGTCAACGCACGCCGCTGTAGGCCTCCGCTCTTGTTCCATCAGTTATCACGGCCACTGGGTCTTATCACCGCCCCATTTTATCGACACCCGGTAAGGCATCCCTTCTGATATGATCGTCCCTCGTATTTCAGCCACTCTAATATTATGCGAGAAATGCTGTATGTGATGGCGTCCTCACCAATTATTGGCGGTTAATGTTAGCATCGCTAACATCGTCCTTGCAACGCACAAATCAGACATCCTCTGGTCAAAAGTCGTGTTCATAGATTACCGGTCACCTAGACGTCATTCGGCGGGGTCGACAAAGCGCGGAAGACCCTCCGTGAGGACAATGGATCGCCAAACAGCCTCCCGCTGGGATTATCGGCCACTTAACGTTCTTCCATGGGTTCACTGATCACAAGGACGTTCACTTTTCACTGTTACGGTGCATCCTCCCCCATCTAAGTTTTCCTTCCCTGAACCCAATGCTCGCCAAAATGTTCTCTCCGAAGTTCCCGAGAGGTCCACGCTCTACTCAGCCGTCAAGTTGTCACAGCGCGTTCTGGGGTCAGATCGCGTGCTATCGGAATCAGCGTTGGCGGTACGGGGCGCGCGGATCTCAAGCACCACATCCTTGGTCATAAATCACTGGCGCGTGCTGCCCCGACCCTCCGCACCTCCCCCGCCTCCCCGCCTCCCCGCCCCTCGCCCTCCACCTCTGATGTATTTACAGCGCTAAACGAGCGTAATGTCGGCTCGAGATAGCATCTATGAGACACGACAATGCCTCGTGCCCAGCGCGCCACAAATGAAAACGCCGGTCGCGCCGGCGCGGCGCGCGACGCCCGAAGCGTACCGCTCACTGCGCAAGATTCACACAATGCATGTCTTTGACAAACGGCCAGGCCGCGCGTCGCGTAAGACCACTATGAATAGCAGCAAATTGCTGCTGTCTGCCAAACGGAGGTGCACGTCTCACAAAGAAACTAGACGCTTCATTCTGAGCCGGCGCCGCTGTCGGCATGACAGCTGCAGGCTACGGGCAGGCCCGGTGTGCCGGCGGAACCACACAGCACACGTGCGCTGGTTCGAATGGGGGCGGGGAGACACTTGTCCGTGGGGCGTCTTCATTTGATTAACACCGTAAGAAGACCTTCCTCTCCAGTCTATGGGAAGGTGATGTTTCTATACGTTTCTACCATTAACTAATGCATGTGATGAGTGTTGAAATCACTGGTGATAAACTCACAATCAGACAGCTCGATCGCGATAAAATGGGAAAGAAAACGTTTGCTCAAATTGGCACACGTGGCAT